CCGTTTTCCAAAACAACGAGCATTGGCAAATACTGGTCCAGAGTCAGAGTCCTTCAGTAGGCCTATGTTACGTAACGTAAAGTAAAAAAAAGGTAGTAGTTTGGTTAGTTTTAGGCAACAGAACTTTATGGTTAGTTTTAGGAAAATATTGTGGCTTGGGTTAAAACAAGTACATTACGTAAGTTCTCTACAAAACGTTATTTAACTTTCTTTTACACGGAACTTGAGTCTTGGTCTCTTGAGTGAAAGTCCTGAGTTTACATCCCTCATCCATTCACCACCACCACCCTCCTTAATCGGACTTTGTCGTTCCTCATACTACGCCACCTGACTTCTTCTGTCACCAGGGGTAGTGGCCTTACTAAAAACATAAATTTGGGTCGTAGTAAGCTATATAATAATCAACCTATACAGCTGTTTTTGGATGAGGACGGGCTGGATCTAAAAATCACACTATCATAAATAAATACTTCAAAAAAAAATCACAATCACATGTATTGAGTTATGAAATGTACTGTAACAAAGCTACTTTTTTGCCTAGAACGAGAAGGACACTGAGAACACTTCAGAGGTATATGAGAACATATAAACTGTCTTTTAAGGTAAGTTTTGAACTCATTTTTCTTATTTAGTGAAAAGGCCTAAATGTATTTTGAAGGGAGACGCACAAAGAGGTTTTGTTTCTGTAGAAATCAGTTTAACTCTGTTTGGATCAAAACAGCAACTCTCTAATTTAATCAGTTGTTTACATTTTTGTCCTGCAGATGATCAGAAAAGAAGAGACACCAATGTTGTTGTTTTGTTTTAGAATTCATACTGTTTCTTCTGTGTTTGGGTTATGTTTCTTTTAGATAAATAATTTACAACACAGCAAAACGTAACAGTAACAGAATTACCAGTGTATTTCAAAGTCTTGTTGACAGACACATAAATGTGCTTAAAGTTGAATTAAGTGACTGTTTGGACACTTGTAGGCAGAAGAGCACCACAACATAATGACACATAGCAGCCCTGATATATTATCACATTATTGTTTTTGATAGCTAATGTGTTGTTTTTTTATAGCTAATGTGTTAGCAAACATTTGCCATTTATCCATATGTACAGTATAACAGTAGCATTTCCTCTGCTTTTCTGGCCACTTGTTGAATTAAATATTCCTTCTCATTTTAGCAGGTAGCAAATGCATTGGGTTTGTCAGAGTAATCTGCCGTAAACAGTGTTTATGAGAGTGAAATGTCTTCAAACCCAAAACAAAGAGTGTAAATACAGTAAAAAGCTCCAGTAAGCTGTAGTGCTGGGTGATGATTCACCCTGAGTCCTTTTACATTTAAAACATAATATATTTAGTTGAATATTGTTATGCTAGTTTTCCTTACACCATTCCTGGTGTGTTGCGCATTTCTACAGAGTATTTCTAATTTTTGCTTTTATTTTGCTGTTCTTTATTGTGTCCAGCCACAACTTTGTAAATTAATGGAAGAATATTGGGGTGGAATAAGACATTATGCTAATTAACAATATATATCAATATATTTTGAAAACTGCAACACAAAATGTTAATTCTTTCTCTGTCATGTGAACTTACAGCAACTGAATATGTAACAGTCTTTAAATATAACAGTCAAAGACTGGCAACTGCGGAAATGACTTTGGAAGTATATTTTAATAAATATGTATATATCTTCTTACTGTTTACTTGAGTTGATACATTTGACTTCCTTACAATAAATACAAACAATGAAGAAATGTTAATGATTCAATGGAGTTGTGCCTCCAAAGTTTACTCTTGATGGTTGATTTAACTTTATGGAGAAGTGAAAACTAACTATCACCACTGTCAAAGTCCAATGTGGTCCTAAATGACAGATGTGATATATCCGACTCTTGTCTCCAAAAGCTGCAGTATGCTGCCTTTTTGTGGTCTAACTTCTGGCAGTCTGGTGGATAAAAGACATGGAGCAAAGTGGTATTGAAGTAATTTACTGAGCAGGATATTGTCCTGTATATTTTACTCTCAGTGTGTTTTAGACACAATCAGACTTTTTAGCTTAAGTTAAATATTATCTTTAAAATTACATTAATTTTATAGGAGTGCATAAAGCAAAGTTAATGTCCATATAATGTGTGAAGAGTTTTGAGATAGAACTTAGGCCAGTGTGGTATTTTGTTTTTTGGGTTATATAATTGTCTGATTTTCCTAATTGCATGTCTATGTCTATCCTGGTTCATTCATGTAAATGCTCCGTACTTGTATAGCGCCTTTCTAGTCTTTTCGACTACTCAAAGTGCTTTTACACTACATCTGCATTCACCAGTCATACACATTTACATTCATACACTGAGCCTAAGTGCTCAAACAGAAACTAGCATTCATACTCATTCATACACTGGCGGAACAGGCGCCAGGGGCAAATCGGGGTTCAGTATCTTGCCCAAGGACACTTCGACACGCAACCAGGGGAGCCAGGGATTGAACCGCCGACCTTCCGATTAACGGCCAACCTGCTCTACCTCCTGAGCCACAGCCGCCCCGTTTAGCTCTTTTCAAAACACTTTATAACTTTGTTTTGAAAAGTGCTAAATTTATTGTCATCGTGTTAACATTGTTGTTCAGAGCAAGCCCCTGTACACTCAGCTGCTCGGGGCGCCGCACTGAGTAGCAGCCCTGTCACTCTGACATCTCTCCATGTGTTGTTGCATGTGTGTGTATTTCAGACCTGTGTGTGTATACTAATGACAATAACACCAGAGTGAGAACATTGAATTTCCCCTTGTGTGATGAATAAAGAATGTGTTCTTCTTCTTCTGCATGTTAGTATGCTGATTAACATTTAGCTCAAAGCACTGCTATGTCTACATACAACAGAGCTGCATCACAGAGCTACTAGCATGGCTTTAGAGTCTAGTTCCTAATACCTCTCACATTATCAACTAAGTAAACAAACTGTGTGTAATAGTAAATAAGAAGCATCATTTCTGGTTTTCCAAACATGCAGTTTAGAGAGCCACGATAACAAAGGGTTGATGAAGGTAATAATTAAGCATGTCAAGCCTGTGGACGTCTTGATGACGTTTCATTTATTGCATTTATCTTAGCTTTTATTCCACTGTTGCACAAACACAGACAGCAGAAGGTCAGATAACATTAGAAGAGGACTGACCCAGTAATACATCATGAACTATACGTTTCTCAGGTCAACCATACTTATGTTCCTCTCCTCAGGTAAGATATGTATTAAAAGTTCTTTATCAATAGAACTACAGGTTGTGAAATGTTGACTATGTTCATATTTCAGTAGGTCTGTGCTATGGAGCTGGTGTACTCACTGTTGACTCCCTCCGTGGAGCAGCAGGGGAGAGCGTGGCCTTTAAAACATCTGTAAAACCAACAGCTGAACCGTTTCTGGCATTAACTTGGAGCTTCAATGGGACCACCAATGTAATAACCTCAACCAGTGTAGATGTAGTCGGACAAGGCTATGAGAGCAGGATCGTCCTAGAAAAGTCTACTGGATCTCTGGTGCTTATGAACCTGACTGAAAAAGACAGCGGCGAATATGAACTAATCATCATCCCATATGGAGCGGAGCAGATTCAAGGAACTGTCAAACTGGAGGTGCTGAGTGAGTAAGATAGATTTATCTGACACTGTTTTTAATGTTAGGAAGGAACTGAAAACAATGCTTGTGTAGTATCAACATGTTTATTTTACTGTAATACTGCACTGCTAAGATGTCTGTTTAAAGAATGCTCATTGAATGTTGCTTAGGTGTGGTGTCAACAAGTCTCTTGTGTTTGTATACATTTTTTGTGCACAGCCAAAGTGTCAAGACCCACTATGGCCTGCCCCACAGAAAACGTAATAGAAGGTAAAACCTCTGTGAACCTAACCTGCGATGCTGACGGCTTGGTGTCCAACAGAGTGTGGATGAAAGACGGCCGACCTTTGGTTTCTGGAGAGAGATTCAGCTTTTACGACAGCAACAGAGTGTTGTCTATCAGCCCTGTCGACAGGAGAGACACTGGAGAGATTCTTTGTAATGTCAGCAATGATTTCAGTTTTGATACAGCTAACTGCAGACTGAAAGTCTATTGTGAGTATTTTCAATTACACATTTCCTGATTTTGAATATTCGCTTATCATTACTTAAGTGCATAGAAAAGGCTAACTATTTCAGTCTCATCATAATTATTATCTTCCTAATGATCTCCTTCATCCTCTTCCTCAAATGTTCAGATGGACCTGACAAACCAACAATCATTCAGAGGCCAATAGGAGCAGAACTTGAAGAGAGTGTCACTCTTAGCTGCTCTGCTGACTCCCTACCAAAGGCAACTTTCTTCTGGACGTTCAAACACATGAAGATGTACGGGCCCCTGCACTACATCCATGAGATGGAAGAGATGCACCTGGGGAGCTACACCTGTACCGCCCAAAATGCTGTCACTGGTTTAGAAACCTCTGCGCTCCACACACTGCGTGGTAATTGAGCTCTATCTCACAGCTCTCTAAATTGTCAGTACTGATGTGTGATTGCAAATGGAAAAGTAATGTTTTTTTTTCTTCTGCCAGATTCATCTACTCCCATCATTGGTTCTATGTCTATGATGGTTTGCACCGTCCTGACGTTGATGGAGCTAATTTTAGTCTAAAGACTAAGAATAAGTGTGTGTGTGTTTTAGATCATTCTCTGAGTTCAGCATTGTTGATAAATGTTATGTTCATGTAAAATAAAGCTGTGAATGATAAACGACAAAATTGTTGTTCTTCATATTTGCTTTTGTTCCTGCAGTATGTTCTTCTGAAATATACAGCTGTGACATTCATTGTTGTATTTAATGACTAATAACTGTCTCAGTTTTCTTCTTCTTCTTTTGTTTTGAGATAACTGAAGCCTACGTAACATTCCAAAAATCAGGAACATCCTGTCTCAAAATTATGCGGAAAAATTAGTCGACGCATTTGTCACTTCTAGGTTGGATTACTGCAATTCTTTATTATCAGTGTGTTCGAATAAGTCCAAGACTCATTAAGACTCTTCAGCTCATCCAGAATGTTGCGCCAGTGTAATGACAAGAACCAGGAAAAGAGATCATATTTCTCCTGTATTAGAATCGCTGCACTGGCTTCCTGTAAAATCTAGAATATAATTTAAAATCCTTCTGCTCACATACAAAGCTCTTAATCATCAGGCACCAATTCAATTCAATTCAAATTAGCTTTATTGGCATGAATGTAATAACATTGCCAAAGCATCATATATACAACATAAGAACAATTAAAGTAAAGTAAATATATTATTATATATAAAGTAATCAAAGCGTGTGTGTTTAAAAAAAAAATAAAAGAATATTAAAAATTTAAATTAAATAAATAAATAAAAGAGAAAGCGTGTGTTAAAAAATATATATTAAAAATAAAATAAATAAACAAAACAGTAAGCGTGTGTGTTTAAATAAAATGTATTAAAATAAAATAAATAAAAGAGTAAGCGTGTGTGTGTGTTAAAAAAAATATTATATTAAAATAATAAATAAATAAAACGGTAAGTGTGTGTGTGTGTGTGTGTGTTAAAAAATTTAAATATATATAAAAAAATAAAATAAAATAAATAAATGAAACAGTAACGTGTGTATATATTAATAATGTGTGTATATATTAATAATATATTAATTAATAATATTTTTTTAAAGAATTAATTGATAAAAAAAAAAAAAAGAACCAGTATCAAATGTAAAAACAAAACAATTACTAAAATATCAAATGAAAAATAATAATTTGAAAATCTGTACAATTATTTGTTAGTCTGAGGTTCCACTGGTTGTCCTCACTTCATGGCATGAGGAGACATATTTTGCAGCAATTTTTTCGCATTTGGGTATTTCTCCCAATAAATAGGGGAGTTTCTTTGTGTCTGATATGAATTCGAATTTGGGGTATATTTGGGAAATAAAAAAGTGTTTTTTCTTAGTTTTATATTTAGGGCATGAGGTTAGAAAGTGCAGCTCTGTCTCTACCTGTCCCCTGTCACACTGGGAGCAGAGTCTCTCCTCTTGTGGTAGCCAGCTCTGTCTGTGGCGACCCTTTTCTATGGCCAGGCTGTGTTCACTCAGTCTGTTTGTTGTCAACATTTTTTTAATTTGGGACATTTTATTGTACTCAGGTAATTTGCCAGTGTGAATTCTCTTTTTAGGGTCAGATAACATTGTAATTTACTTTGTGTTTTGGTCGTTTCTTTCCAGTATTCAATATTTTTCTTTCTGCTTGCTGATAATTTGCTTTGGTCTGCTTGAGTTGGTGTTGCTGTCTTGAGTCTGTTGGGGACTTGTTACTCAGGACCATCTGGCTGAGGGGACTCTTCTCTGGTTTCAGCTCCTGGTATGTTAGGGCTTTGTGTGATGTCTGGGGGTTAACTGATTTTAAGTGATTGTAAAATTTAAGTGATCTTTTCTGTATTTTTAGTAGGAGGGCGTATTGGCCAAGCTCTGCTCTGCACAGGTTATTTGGTGTCTTTCTCTGCACCTGCAAGATGCTCTTACAGAACTCAGTATGGAAAGATTCTATGATTGATTTGTCAAATTCATTATTAAGTTTTGGCCCCCAGATTTTGCTACCATATAGAATTATTGGTTCTAGTACAAATTGGAAAATTTCAATTGGAATATATATTATAATGTGTCTTTTTATTGCATAGAAAGCTCTCTGTTGTGGTGGCAGCCCGGCTGACGGTGAGTGTCCTGGTTTTTTCCACTTTTTATCAGTTTTTCTGCTTTTTTCCTTGGTTTCCTGTTCTCTGCCCGCCTCTCTGTGTTTTCTTCCCCGTGTGCTCTCTCTCCCTCTGCTCCTGAGCCCAGCCAACTACCTGCACCTGCAACTCATCATCCACCTCGTCAGCCTGCCACACCTGCCAGTAATCACCTCATGACTGCCTGTATTTCAACCCCGGTTTTCCACACCATCCTCGCTTGATCGTCGTTGCTCCATACCCGGTGCCATCCTCACGTTCAGGCTTTCATGTTTTTTCACGTTTACCCTGTACCTTGTCGCTGTCTTCCCTAACCTTGTCTCTCTGTTTCCCTCCCAGGTACACTCACCCTCGTCCTCCGTTCAGCTGGACTCATCCACTGGCTCACTCCTCTTTGGACTTCCCTCACGGCGTCCTCCCTGTTCCCCCCCTCTCCTCGCTTCCTCGGCCCCTGTGTTCCCCGGCTCCCTGGCCCCCTGTCTCCTTGGTTCCCCGTGCCTGTACTTCCCCGACGTCCACCTCTCCCTCCACTCCAGTCCCTCTTCCCCTTTTTCCTCCAATAAACCTCCTTCCCTCTGAGAGCTGCATTTTGGTACTTCACTATCCACGCACCACACCCCCTAACACTCTCCTTGCTTTGTCCCTCAGATCTTTCACAGCCATGTTGAAGTTCCCTGTGTATATAATGTTGAGGCCAAGGTAAGTGTAGTTTTTTGTGTTGTAATTTAGTGGTGTCTAAATAGAAATTGTGTGTAACCTGATTTCTGTATTGTTTCTGAAAGATCATTATCTTAGTCTTTGCTGTGTTTACTGTCAGGGCCCATGTCTGACAGAATCTCTGCAGGAGATTAAGGTGCTGCTGCAAACCTTCTTTAGTAGGTGAGAGCAACACTAAGTCATCTGCATACAGCAGACCTCTCATCTCTGTCGTTCAGGAGGAGGCCAGGTGCTGTGGAACTCTCTAATTGGTTTGCTAATTCATTGATATATAGGTTGAAGAGAATTGGAGATTGCATCCCTGCTTCACTCCCCGGCCCTGGGAGAAGAACGCTGGTTGTTCGTTTCCAATCTTTATGGCAAATTTACTTTTTGTATACATGTTCTTAATCAAATCATGTGTTTCCTCCAATGCCACTTTCAAGTAGCCTATAGAAAAGGACCTCATGCCAGATGAAATCAAAGGCTTTTTGGAAGTCAACAAAACAGACATATACCTTTCTTTTCTTAATGTTTAATTCTTGATCAGTTAGTCTGGGGGGTAAATATATGGTCTGTTGTGCGGCAATTTGGCATTTATGCAGAATATTGTGCTTATCAACAAAGTTGACAAGTCGTTTATTAATGAGATTGATGATGAATGTTTTTCCCAGGTCACTGGATACACATATTCCTCTGTAGTTATTTGGGTCATATTTATCTCCAGATTTATGAATTAGGGTTATTAAACCTTTGTTCCAGATGTCTGGAAAAGTTCCAGTTGCTGGAATAGTATTGAATAGTTAGTATAGCCAATCTGATTTTATGGTTTGAGTATTTGATCACTTCGTTGAGGATTCCATCAATACCGCAAGCCTTTTTCCTTTCAGGGACTGGATGACTTCTGTTAATTCTTGTTCTGTTACAGGGTAATCTAGAGGGTTTTGGTTGTTTTTTTATCACCGCCTCCAGAGTTTTTCATTTCGTGAATATCTTGTACTGATCATCATTTTTTTAATATTACTGTATAATTCACTAAAGTGATTAATCCAAGTATTTCCATCTTGGATTGCCAAATCATCCTGCTGGGTTTTGTTTAGGTTGTTCCATTTCTCCCAGAACTGGTTGGACTCTAAGGATTCCTCATTTTCACAGAGCTGGTTCTTGCTGTGTTTATTCTTAGTTTTTAGGGTGTACTTGTATTGTTTCAGAGTGGCCTCATATTGACAGCGTATGCTGTGGTTCCCCCTTCGAGGGAACTCAAACGGCATCGGTTACAACACCATGGGAACGCATAGTCGTAAGCAACGCAGTGTCTCGTTCCCCTTCTCGGGAACCAGAGTTACATACGTAACCCGATGTTATGTCGGTCCCTATGCTTTTCATTTGATAATTTCCATAAAGTTTTCCTTAGGTTTTTGCATTCAGTGTCAATCCGTTGGTTTTTTGGTTTGGAGGCTTTCAAATTAGACAATGAAGCCAAATGATGAAATATTGAATTGATTTTGTACACAGCAGAATTTACACCAGAATTATTCTGGGGAAATGTTTCAGTTAGAAATGAGTTCAATCATGTATGTTTTGATTTTCCAGTGCCTTTGGTACACCCCCATGCTGTCTGGGGTCCATGGGTATGTGCTGTTAAACAGTTCACAGGCAGTAGGGGTCCCAGACTTAGACTGAGCCCTTTTCAGATTGTGATTTTGCTGTGGTCTGTGAGGGGGCTGACTGTGAAAGCTCTGAGAGACATTGGATCTAGATCTGTAATGAAATAATCTACCGTATTATTGCCAAGAGCTGAGCTGTAAGTGTAGCGACCCAGAGAGTCCCCTCGTAGCCTGCCGTTGACTATGTACAGACCCAGCATACGGCAGAGCTGTAAAAGCTGCATACCGCTTGTATTAAGCTTGTCAAAGCTTTTTCTAGCAGGACATTCAGGGAGGGGGAAGCAGGTGTTTCCAGTTAAGTGTTTGTCTCCCTGGGTGTTCAGTGTCAGCTCTTTCTCCTGTTCGAGCGTTCAAGTCTCCACAGAGTAATACATTTCCCATGGTTTTATAATGGTTAACTTCCTCAAGAATAGAGGAAATATATGGGCTGTAGTAGAGGGATTCTGATGGAGGTATATAGATGGCACACATGTAGACTCTCATCTTTTGCTCAGCACAAATCATCTGTTAATTTTCAACCATATTTAAGAGTCTTCTTTTTTTAATAACTGTGATG